CGCCTCCTCCTCCCTCCTGCCTTAAAACTCCCCCCTTCTTTAGAAGGCCTGGCTCTCCCACGCCTCCTCGTGGCCGTTCCCAGCACCGCATTCTTGCCCGGCACAAGGCCTGGCTCTCTCTCTCACTCACTTTCTCTCCGCTCACTCAGTTCCCCCCCAGGCGGCCGTTCTGTCGTCCTTAAGTGGCTTTTCAAATCCTGCACCCCTATAATTCCCACAATAAAATGTGGACTCGGGCAGGGCGGCTGGGTTGGTCTGAAGCAACCGGTGGCACCTTGAAGACCAGCAAAGTTTTGTTCTGGGTGTAGAATTTGTGTGTGTGCGTCTGCACACTTCATCAGATGCGTTAAAACCGTTTCCCTCGAGCTTTACCTATAGGTGTGGTTGGGTCAGTTGCCAGGAAGAGCTAGTGAGAGACAAGATGTATAAGTAACTGGGCGATGATTTGTATGGCTGAGACCAGATCTATGGATGGCAGGAAATTGACCCACACGTGCAAGCGCTAGCAAGCAGATGGGACCGAGTCCAGGGGCCCTCAGAGCCGGCGTGCTCACGGTCCAGGCAAAGGCTCCTCGGCCTCTCCTCCGGCTCCCCCTTTATCGGGGAGTGGGCCCGCCTCCCCCCAAGCTGCCACCAGATAGAGAAGAACTGATGCACTGAGTGTTAGAGCCCATAACTTAAATGCACAATAAAGAGTATGACCAAAATAATTTCACTGTGTGAATTCATGCGTTCACCTGTTGGTAACCAACATCCATCTATCATTACACAGACTCACAGAATGTTAGCAGGTCATCTAGTCCAGCCCCCTGCCCCCTGCAGGAGCAGAGCCGAAAGATAGTAGCCCAACAACTCATCAGTGGCTTACAAGGCAAAACGGGATCTAAGGAGTCGCCCTTGTCTTTGACGTTCCTGGTGGGCTTGAAGCCAATAGGAGGACCCCCCCCCCCCTTAGCCTTAGACGGCGTGACTGGGCCAGAGGTGGATCTTGACGGATGACCGGAGCCTTGTCGTTGCGCGTCGAAGGTCGGGGTGAGAGTCCCTGGCGCCCGAAGCCCTCCACGCTCCGCCGACTGCGGAAGCAGGGAGAGGCTCCCCCTCTTACGCGGGGCT